GTTAGAAGTTTAACTTTATTTTGTAATAAGAACTACTTTGTTATATAATAATGCAACTGATCTAAAGAAATACTCTATATAAAAGTCCTTCTGGTAGAGATGAGAATTGATTTTCCAATAATCGATTTAATTATTAATCAAATTAAAATCAATTCTTGTTTTTGTATAATTGTTTTAATTATTTCTAGAAATGATTATATATTTTTGAATTAATTCTTGAATTAGAATTGATTTTAGATGTATAATTATAATAAACTTTTACTAATTTTCAAGTTATTTATTTTAAAAATAGCATTTTTGTTTTTAAACTTATAAATCATTTAACTTAACCTTTAGTTTGTACTTAGCTATCTTTATTTTGCAAGTTATTGTAAATGTTTAAGATTGTTATGCTTAACTATTTCTAACTATTCTCTAGTAAGCAATTATTAACAGCTATATGTTTGTTAAATATAAGGCATATTATTTTATTAAATTTTAAGTCTATGATTTATACCCAGCTATATTATAATAGCTAAGTTTATTTTTAATTTTTAAAAATATTAATTTTATTATATCAATTTATATATATTAAAACTTTAAAAAATTTAAATAAAGATATCTTAATAATTACTTAATTAAATTTATTAAATAGTTGTTAAGATATCTAAATTTAAAATTTTTAAAATTTAATATATAAAAATTACAATTTTATTAGGAATCAAAACTTTATTAATAGATTTTTTTTACAGTTTTATAAACATAAATTTAGTATTTAAAGTAGAATTTTTTTTAGTCATCGTTTTTTTCTCCATATTTTTATATCATTTCTATATTATTTATTTTTTAAATTATTATTCATTAAAATAAAAATACAAAATTTAGATTAAAATAACCAAAAGTTAAAAACCTTGTATGGTATTCTAATACTATAAAAATCTATTATTTTATAATTATTAGGTTTAAGATACTGTTCAAAATTAGTATAAGTGATAACAACATATATATAGGATTCGATTATTGATTATAAATCAATTATAACTGATTCGATCATTGATTTAAGTTTTTAGAATCGATTCTCATCCCTACCTTGTGGACTGTCTTGTGATATTTGTTGGTTATTAAAAATAATTTTTATTTCCTTGTCAGTTAATGGATCCGCATCTTGGTATAAAGTTATTTGTTCTAATTCTTTAATTCTACTATGCAGTATATCACAAAACTCCTTAAACTCAAAATCCAAATGGATATTAACTGGTTGATGCTTAAAAGTGGTTTGCAAATAACGATTTATAGCATTAATTCTAACATATAAAGATTCTGACGAATACTCCGTATCATTACTTGAACAATGAATTCAGATAGAAGACTCGCAATAACTACTTTATCTTCAGATGTATCAAGGTTGAAGTCAGGTTGAACATCTTTAATATAATTTTTAAATTGGTTAGCTCACGTCATAGTACTTTTTTGGGTGTTTGGGGTGTTGCATTTTTTTTGAATGATTGAAGTTTTTCATTCGAAGGTCTTTCAAATTTGTTACGAATATTAGATGGTTCGCCATAAGTTGAATAAAAATCAGATGCATTTATAAAAGAACGTTTCATTTTTTCTTTTTCGATAATTTAGAGAAAAGAAAGTACTTGAATCATTAAATTTTACGTTATCGTTATTTTATATAAAAGTTTAAATCATTAAATTTGACATTATTTTATATAAAAGTTTAAATCATTAAATTTGACATTATTTTATATAAAAGTTTAAATCATTAAATCAAATTAATATCTATTGTTTATATAAAGTTTAAATTATGTGTTTATGACGTTTTTTTTTCATGTGAGAGGTCAGGGTATTAAGTAATAATAAATGTCTCCAGCCCAAATCTTTCCGAGATTCTTATATCGAAAACTTATTGTTTTAAATAATCAATTAGAAATTATAAAACCTTTCTTGCTTCAAAATTGTTTTATATCAAAGGCTATTTTGAAAGAAAAAAACAATGATAGCCAAAAAATTATCAGTTATGTAAATAAACATTAAATGAGCAATTAGTTTCTGAGTAACACAAAATTTTTATAATGACATTTGCAAACACTTTAATAGCTAAATGAAATTTTAAAAATGAATTAATTAGTTTTCTATAGAAAAAGTCTTAATATGTTATGCTTTTCAATTTACGTCGATTATTAATTGACGCATGTCATTTTTCAATTGAAAAATGACATACGTCGTTTTTCAATCGGTATGAAATTTACGGATAAAAAAAAAAAAAAAAAATTCCGATATTCATTTATTAAATATTTAAATGCTAATTGACGTACGTTTAACCGAACATATTCAAATTAATGAAAATATATCTGATATTGATATTTAACAATGAAATTACCAATTTTGTATTGTCCACGTAAAACGTATCCATAGCGTCTTGAATATAAGAATTATTTTCTTACAAGAGCATGATTTTATACTAAAATTAATTTTTCGGCAATGACAAGAATTTGGACGAAGTCTTCAGCTTAAATCAATATTTCCATTATTTGTATCATTACTTTAGTTAAAATTTATATTAGTGTTAGTAAAATTTTTATTAAAGTTTAAATGTATGAGTTGAGCGTTCTTAGATTAAGCATTATTGAGTTGGTTCAGGTACTCTTAAGTTGCATCCCCCATCAGAAATTCGTGTCATAGCAATAATACCTATTTAATAGCATATATATTAATATTAATTTTTTTAAATTATTCACTTGTCTGTATATAATTCAGAAATAACGCATACCTTACATTCATTAACAGCGTCTTCGACTAACTGCAGAACACGGATCTATTTATTATTAAATAATAAAAAATATATATATTTTTTTATTATAATTTTTTTTCTTTTTTTATTTATAATTTTTTTTTTATTTTTTTTTTATTTATAATTTTTTTTATTTTTTTTTATTTTTTTTATTTATAATTTTTTTCTTTTTTTTTTTTAAGTTATACCTTTCGCCAGGTCTTCAACAAATAACTTCGTAGAAATTTTCAACTACGCACTCTTGGGTTCCCATATTATTTCTGCCTTGTTTACATATGTGAAGTTCTATAGTACCAACGCGATGAACTTTAAAAGTATTAATCGCTTAATGTTTAAACGTTGGGTTACACTGAATATCTTTATTTTTTTTTGTAGTATAGACATTTATTGTATCGTGCGCTGTCCATCAAGCTTCGTTTATTTTATCTTATTTTATTTTTTTGATTTATATAAGTCTCACGGGTTAAAAAAGAACAACTTTGTGGATTCATTATTAACGAAGAAAAAAATAATTACAATTATTAAGAAGAAAAAATGAAGTAAAAAATAATTACAATTATTAAGAAGAAAAAAATGAAGTATAATAAAGTACTTCTTAAAAAAAAAACCATATTTAAAATTTTATTTATTCACCATAAGCCATCATTGATTATAATATGATCTGCATTAACGTCAAGAATTGACCTGCGTCGTTTATCAATCGGTGAAAATTAAAAAATGACAGGCGTCAATTAATAATCGACGTAAATTGAAAAATGACGCATAACAAATATATTAATTGTGTAATAGTTAATTAATAATATTTTGAAAGATGTTTTCAGAAGGGAATTCTAATTAGCAATATTTTAAAAAAACTTTTGGGTTCTAAAAAGGTAGTTTTAGATGCGGATAAAACCAGTGTTGACACTGGACATATGTCTATCTATTTATAACACTATTGGACTGGAAATGAACATTGGACATATACCTGGACATGGTCTAGGTCCAAGATGTCCAATCACCTATTAAAGTTTTTTTTATTATCTAATATATTAAAAAAATTTTTATAACGAATAACTTAAGCAAATCAAGAGTTTTAGCTTTAATTTTGAATTATAATTATTATTATTGTTAAGGTTAGAGGTTGAAATCGCTACTTTAAAGAATCGCTAATTTTTATTAATGTTAAAACTTTATGTAACATACGGGTTTATTCAAATTGGTTCTAATTAAAGTTAATAGACTTTGAGATCTCAGCTGTTTGTAGTTCTTTTGTTCTTAATATGTAATTTTCCATATAGCAATAGCCAATCATGATACGTAATATTATGTGTTAGCATTAATGGACCATTGTCCATTGTCCATTGTCCAATGTCCAATACCCTTTGGTCCAATGGATTGGACTGGACTGGACAAGGGTGGTCCAATGTCCAAGCCCAACACTGGATAAAACTTTACAGTTTAGTAATTTCTGATTGATTAAATTCATAATAAAGAAATGCAGAATAATTCAAACAACCATTTTTCAATGTTAATATCATTATTTATTAAATTAAATGATTTTCTAAGATGGAAAAATATTTAGGTTCACAATTTTCAACTGTTTATATTTTAGTTTAGAGAATGTTCTGTAGTAAATATGAATATTCAAAACTAGGATTACGCATCAACTTTTATATTTTTGACTTTGTTTTTCTTTTTTTTGTCAATATTTTTTTGTTGGTATGATAAAGTAATATTCACTAATTACTAGAATGAAAAACACGAATATTAAAAGCATTTCTACATTTGCATTATATTGATACTAGATCTCAGACCAGTCGTGGCTCCAGGTATAAGATTTTAATTTTATTTATATTATTGGTTTTTTTTTTGATTTTGTTTTATGTATTAATAACAATAATTGCAGATGAAAATTCTTGTAAATAGGTCTATATACTGAAAATAATTTAAAAAATAAATCACACTAAATGTAGCAAAAGCCAATGAACATTTAATATTACCTTCATATAATAATGGAATGGCAAAAGTTTCAGACAAAGTAAAAATTATATAATTATTAATAGTTAAATATCTCACAAAATGGATCAATTTTTGTCAGAAACTTAAGAGATATTTATTCTACAAAGAGAAATTTTATTTCGTAATAAGCTGAATTCTAACGCTAAAGAAAGACTATGATAAATCTCCACCAATTTTTACCATCAACCACGATTTACCTCTTAATTATCACCAGAAATACTAATCAGTAATCATCTTCAGTAGGAGGTTCCTCCTCCTCTTCTTCTTCAGTAGGAGGTTCCTCTTCCTCTTCATCGTCAGCTGGGCCAATATCCATACATATATATGAACGACCTCCAGAATTGATCTTTTTAGAATCACTTTCCTTTTGGAGAACTTGAAAAGTATTGGACTCTAGATTATTCATACTAATATAATAAGCGCCAGGATTTACATTTACTGCCCATTTGTAATATCCCACATTACTAAACATTATATAACCGAGATTGGAACTACTCTTAGGTTCATCAAAAGGTACCAAATAAATGTAATAACCGCCATTATCATGTGGGGGTGGATACACGAGATCCCAGGTTATGTTTAGGACTTGACCTCTTACAATTTCACTTTGACATTGTATATTATAAACCTCTATAAAGAATAAAATACGGTAATAAGCAAGAAATTTGAATATTTTTTATTACATATTATATAACCTTTTCAAAAGTTTGACATAGAAGTAAATTTTTTTTTTAACTTACGAGCAATAGTAGACCCAAGAGTTAAAAAGATGATGAAAGTTATAAATGTGAAAAGACGAATCATGTTATTAAAAGAATGGTAAGAAATAAAAAGAATGAGTGTACGATAGAAGAAAGGAATGTATTATGGTTATATTATCAATGATTTTCAGGAAAAGTTGTTTAAATACATCACATTTATACGTTTTACGACTTTATGATCACGAATGTATTAAGCTGTTTGTACGAAATTTTGTACGTATCAAAAAGTGCATCAAAGTTATGCATAATATGTAGTATATTGTAGAAATTTATTTACGATTTATAGTAATTGTTATGTATACGAATTTTGAACATGTTCTGATTAAGTAAAAAAATAAAAATTCGGATATTCCTGTGTTCAACTTTTTTAATATTTGAATATTCATCAAAGCATTGAATTATACATTGTTACAGTCCTTAATTTATCGATAGTATATTAGCTAGCCCGATTAGTAACCTATTCTTAATTTGTACTACGATATCTATACATAGTGCATAATAATTATGTTGTATTAATTTATTTGTCTCACCGATAGTCCTATCTTAAGTTCGGAATAATTAATTTTTAGACTATTTAAGTACCGGCAGTATCACGAAATTCTATTGGCTTCTATGGATTCTACCAGAACAGCCGTTATAACATTTATCTTCTATTTCTATTTATATTATATATATTTTTCTTTACTGTTGTTTATTATTTATATTAACTATTAAATGTGAGAACTAGTATTAGCGATTATATATAAATATTCCCCCGAATTCCCTACAGAAGAAAAGGTAGTTTAGATAATTTGATATAAATAGTAGTGTCTTTATATACTGTAATAAGTATCATTAAAATAAACTATATTCGATATTAATATCTTCATATATTGATATACTGTTTCTTGCCTCTTTTATTGCCTATAATAAAATCCTCTAATATCATTGTATTTATATCAGCAATAAGCTGTAAATCACTTATTGATCCTCATATCGATATAGCTTGTTTCTGTTTGTTTTAGAGGTACAGATAGATTAACAATATATTCACCTAGAGATATGATCCATAAACTATTAGTTAATATAAATAACTGTAGTTTTAGATTAAACTATATTTTATTTATATCTTACTAATTTAAAGTTGAGTTTGTGATTTGTCTAAACAATAAATATGATTCTGTTTGTTGTATTTGTAGTTTAAAATGTTTTTGTTTGATTTAAACAGTGACTGTTTGTTGTTTTTAGGTATATATTGATATTGATACATATGATATAGCTTAATTTTAAATTAGAAGTTGGGACTAGTTCTTGTTCAAATCCAATTAGAAGCTATATTATACATAGGCTTGGTCTAATCAATTCAACAAATTCAGCAATAAGCTCTAAGTAGAAGGCTTTGAAAAAGGTCATAGAAGATTTGGTTTAGGTTTTAGGACTATTTTTGGATTATTCTAGTTAGTTAGTCTTTAAGATCATATGGTACGTTATCTCAGTTCTAATTTCTAATAAGTAAAGATTGTACCTAGTTCAAAATTTAAGTTCCGAGTTACTCACTCATTTAAAATATCTTTACCAGATTACAAACTAGGTCATGTTAAATAACTCAGATAATCTAGTTGACCTGATTATTCATAGATAGTAACTACTAAGATCACAAATTATAAATATATTTTTTTTCTAATAAAGATCTTTTACATTTTTAATTTTTATATTGGTTGGATCTGTTAAATTTTAAAAGTAGATTCTAAATTTATGATAGTTTCAAGTTTACAGAGAATTTTAACTTAGAACTTTTAATATGTATATATGATTGAGTAAGTAGATTATCTAATAATACAGAAATTTGCAAAAGAGAATTTTGTTTTGTATATTCAAAAAATTAATGATAGTAAAAATAATTATGCAAGTGTATATAAAAAATCTAATACTGTTGCACTTAAGACTCTGACTAGTTCTAAGGAAAATAGTTTAATTTTTTGAAAGAATTTATCAATCACATAATGTATATAGCAAACTTGCAATATATGAAATTACTTAAGATACAAGAACGAATGAATAATCAATAGAGTTTCAGTATACTGTTAATAGAATCTTTTATAAATATTTAAGAAAAATTTAAAGATTTACTTGAAAGGCTAAACTGAAAATATTTAAAGATATTTTATATGAATTATCTGTTATTCATAATTATGCAAAGCTAACTAATCATATATTGTAAATCTAGAATTACTTAGAAAGAAATAATATTTGTGAAATCATATTCTATATTTCTCTAAAAGTTATATGAATTTACACAAACAGTTGATATTTATAGCTTTGGTGTTATGATAGCTGAGATATCAACCAAAGGTCTTTGATTATCATAATTCTAATAACAAACTTGCAATTAAGGTTAATATATTAAATTAGCTCAAAAATATATAGAGAGAAGAAATAACCTAATGATTATTATATTTATAAAATAATTGATTTATATAGTGTTTTTCTAAGCTAAGTTTGTTAAAATTAGTTAACTGTTTTTTCATACAATTGAATCAACTAGCTAATCTGATAAATATCTATTTTTACTAATTAATTTAGATCATCTAAATAATAGTAGTTTGACCTGGTTAAAGAATCTTATACAGGTTATCTGAGTAACTCTTATACAGGTACTATCTCTACTAATAAGTTAAGAAACAATATACTTAACTTATAGTAGTTGTTTATTATTATAGAGAGTAATTGGAAATAAACAATTATGATATTTAGAAATTATTTAGAAGTTTTTTAATTGTCTCAAACTTGAGATATATCTTTATTAAAAGAAAAAAGTAATGCTTATATATATATAATTTTACTAGTACTAAATAACAGAAATAAAAGAAAGAGAAAAATAATAGAGATTTAAGAAATCTGAGTTGAGATCCTTAGGATTTGAAAAATTCTAGAAATTATAGATCAGAATCCTTTAGATTTAGAAAATTCTAGAAATTATAGTCAAGATCCTTAGGATTTTTAGAATCTGAATGATTTTTAACTAAGAAACAAGAAAAATCTTGTAAAGCTCTAAAAATTAAACAAAAATTTTAGAATTAGATAACCTTGAATTGGTAGTACTTTTGAAGTTATTAGATTTGTACTTTACAAACTCCTCTGTTTAATTTATGCATATCATGTATAAAAATCTTAAGACTCAGGTTCAGTTCAGGTTCATTAATTTTAAGTTTAGTTCAGGTTCAATAAACCTGGTTTATGAGCCTGAACTGAACAAACTGAACCTAGGAACACTAATTGATTTAGATATTTGTATATATACTAATAATTGTTTTAATTTATATTTTTATCACTAAACTAATTACTAACATTTTGCTTTTATTTTATAGATGATTTCTTTTGTATACTATATATATTGTTAGAGGGAAATCGGGTTGGAGCCAATGCGCAAGAATTCCCGAAAACGTGACCAAAAACGTGACCGGGATCGTAATTTGGATCGCGACCCCAAAACCGTCGATCGTGTTACCCGATTTTTCCCCATTGTATGCAAGAGAAGCC